GATTGGTTTTCCACTGTGACCTCCAGTAAAAACTCACATTTGAGACAGCATAAACAGGCAGTCACACCACATGCTATGGGTGTACTCTGTATGAAATCTGGTGTACCATCGGAAACACGTCACCACGCATCTACGCGTAGCATCACGCTCCTTACGTGACTTCCTCAGGCACTGTATGGTCTACCTGGGCCAAAGCCTGCTCCTTAGAGACCTGCCAAAGCTGGTCCTCCAAGTACTTGGTAAGGACCTCCGGTTGGGAAGAGCAAAAAGATATGTGATTTTCCCTGCACTGTTCTGTGTCCTCCAGACACAGCGGGCACCAGATCGCGGTGCTGCGCACTCCCAGGTAGTGCACACAAGCAGGGGGCGGGGAGGCCGTTTATATACAACACCTGGACGGGAAGTGGTTAAAAGAACAGAAATATCACTGAAAAGATAAAGAATGCCCCTGCAATTGTTGAACTTTTTTTTTTTTTTTTTTGGAAAGCCTGCCTTAGCTGCAGTCTGCAGAAATGTCCCTTTATGAAGCGCCCTCGAAATAACGGAATATCTGCCGTCCAGATGTGGAGATCATTTGGAGTGATATGGAGGGGAAAAAAAGAAACTGTTAATGGGAAAATTGGTCTGCACCGTGCGTTTCCTGTAATTAACGAGGAGCTCTTTGAAAACGTCTTCTCTGGGAAGAAGGCTAAGATGGGGGCCCAGATGTTGTCTAAAAAAAAATCAAATCTTTTTTTCAGTCGCCCCGAGGCAAAACTAAACCGATAAACTGCATAATGAGTTTTCAGTAATTAAGACCGGGCTTTAATATTTAAACACGCACGCCGGTCTATCTGCTCTCCTCGCCGTATGAACGGCAGTGCACGAGGAGCCAACATATGGAAAATATAAGGCGCATTTTAAGCGATGAAAAGGTCTGTTGAATGCATTGTGTGTTTACACAGGACGGATCTGCGCTGTTATGATGCACTTTGTATAATCTCAGCATAGGAAGAAAGAATGCAGCTAAACATGCCCAGAGGCAGGAGATGGTGCTTGGAAAAGTCAAATGTCAAACAATTTCCTGGATGAACCTAATAGATTGTATCATCTGGTGGTGTTCAGATTTCTGTAATGACAGGTTCCCTTTAAACTGCTGGCAGAAATTAGATTAAAGTGCAAACTGTGGCCCGGGGCCGGATACGGCCCTTTTGCTGGGGTACCATTCCATCCACTTACTCCAAAAAACAGTAAGTGGATGGAATGGTATTCTTCCCACTGACACCAACGAAGGGGTAACTTTTCCTCCTACTGATAGGAATGATGGGACACTATTCCTCCCACTGACACCAATGATAGGAGACTATTCCACTGACACCGATGATAGGAGACTATTCCTCCCACTGACACCAATAATAGGGGACTATTCTTCCCACTGACACCAATGATAGGACACTATTCCTCCCACTGACACCAATGATAGGAGACTATTCCACTGACACCGATGATAGGAGACTATTCCTCCCACTGACACCAATAATAGGGGACTATTCTTCCCACTGACACCAATGATAGGACACTATTTCTCCCACTGACACCAATGATAGGGGACTATTCCTTCCACTGACACCAATGATAGGGGACTATTCCTTCCACTGACACCAATGATAGGGGACTATTCCTTCCACTGACACCAATGATAGGGGACTATTCCTCCCACTGACACCAATGATAGGGGACTATTCCTCCCACTGACACCAATGATAGGGGACTATTCCTTCCACTGACACCAATGATAGGGGACTATTCCTCTCACTGACAGCAATGTTGGGGCACTATTCCTCCCACTGACACCAATGATAGGGGACTATTCCTTCCACTGACACCAATGATAGGGGACTATTCCTCCCACTGACACCAATGATGGGGCACTATTCCTCCCACTGACACAAATGATGGGGCACTATTCCTCCCACTGACACCAATGATGGGGGACTATTCCTCCCACTGACACCAATGATAGGAGACTATTCCTCCTACTGACACCAATGATGGGGCACTATTCCTCCCCCACTGACACCAATGATGGGGGACTATTCCTCCCACTAACACCAATGATGGGAGACTATTCCTCCTACTGACACCAATGATGGGGCACTATTCCTCCCACTGACACCAATGATGGGGCACTATTCCTCCCACTGATACCAATGATGGGGCACTATTCCTCTGACTAACACCAATGATGGGGCACTATTCCTGCCACTGACACCAATGATGGGGCACTATTCCTCCCACTGACACCAATGACGGGGCACTATTCCTCCCACTGATACCAATGATGGGGCACTATTCCTCCCACTGACACCAATGATGGGGCACTATTCCTCCCTCTGACACCAATGATGGGGCACTATTTCCCCCCACTGATACCAAGAATAAAGGACTATTCCTTCCACTGATAAAGATGATGGGATGTTATTATTTCCACTGACACCACCAATGGGGCCCTATTACTCCCTCTGACACCAATGATGGGACACTATTCCTTCCAATAATATCACAGATGAGGCATTTTTGACTCACTAGCCACAATCCTGCCCCCCTAAGGTGTAAAGGACAGTAAACTGGCCCTGTGTTTAGTAAGTTTGAAGACCCCTGGCATAACTCCTTAAAAGAGAAAATTAAAAAAAAAAACTTTACCTTTAATCCAAAAATTTCCCCTAAATTACTTTTTTCTACCACTAGATGTCTTCAATTCAATGGCCTGTTTCACTCAATCCACCTCCTCTGAGTCCAGGTCATCCTGGACCTACTCCCAGCCTGTGACAGTGAAAGGATAGCTCATCTCACTGTCACTCTGCCCTCTCCTCTTGTCAGCATGCTACTTGTCAGCACATGAACTGATTGCCTCCTTATACCGCTTCTTCCTCTCACTGTCCGGGCTGTACAGGGGTTGAAAAAGGTTGATTCTAGGTTGATTTCATGTACTTGCACTGCTTACATTTGAAAACAAAAAATAGCGTAGTTACAATTACAGAGCTGCATTCATTTTTTTTAATATCAGCTTTAAAGTCCAACTCCAGGAATTTTAGAAATGATCCCTTACAGTGGTGTCACTGAAGGGGCCTACACTGCAGGGGTTTACTGCTTGTGTAGTATAGAGAGGAGAAGAAGTACCTAACTTACCAGATCCTTTGCTCCCCCATGCTCTGGCTGTGGACTGTCCCTCAAAATCATCACATCCAATGCAGGACTATGCATCCTGTGTCGGTCTTGGGGACATCAGGACCCTAGACCACTGGAGCCTGGGGGAGGAGGCACTGCAGGGACCGGTCTAGCAGCATGGTGGATTGGGTAAGTGAATCTACTTTCCCAATGCCCCCCTAACCCAAATGGAGAAAATAACCCTTGCAGTGCGAGAATAGCCCCACCGCAAGGGATCATTTTTTACATTTCCCCGAAGTCGGGCTTTAACCACTTCCAGTCCGGACACTTTCACCCTTTCCTGTCCAGGCCAATTTTCAGCTTTCAGAGCTATCACTCTTTGACAATTGTGCGGTCATGCAACACTGTACCCATATGAATTTGTAGCATTTTTTTGAGACAGGTAAAGCTTTATTTTGGTGGTATTTATTCACCACTGGGATTTTTATTTTTTTGCTATATAAATGAAAAAGTCCAAACATTTTGAAAAAAAGTGTTTTTCTTATAAAATTTTGCAAATAAATATTTCATCATAAATCTTGGCCAAAATTTATTCAGTTATCTTTTTAGTCAAAAAAAAAAAAAAAATAACCCAAATTAGTTTATAACTAAAAATTGTAATTTTTTATTTTTTTTTATTTACATTTTTATTTTATTTTTTTATATTATTATTTGTTTTTTTTTTTTAACATACTGTCACCCTATCAGTACAGTGTCACCATACCACTTGTAGAGGGGTGAAGATTTTTTTTTTTTTTTTTACACTGATTGCTTTTACACCCATAAAGGTTATAAAAGCAATCATTTCTCCTTCTCCCTGGCTGCATTCTTGCAGCCATTGAGAAATACTGTGTGAGCTGTGATTGGTCACAGCTTGTCACATGGTAAAAGGCTGTTGTGAATAGCCTTGTACCATGTGATCTCTGTGATCATTCACAGATTTCACACGTAGTAAGCAATATTATCAGAAGTGACATCTTGCTTACTACTATTCATGTGATCACTGATTGGCCAATCAGTGATCACATGATCGGGACCTCACACAGAGGTCCCGTATGACAATCAGTGTTCCACTGTGTCCGGAGGACACAGCGGGCACCGGATCATAGTGCTGCGCGCTCCCAGGGAGGGCGCACAGTCCAAAATGGCGGGCGCCATTTATGAACACCAACCCGCCCCTGGACTGCCACCGTCTGGACGTTTATATACAGCGATCGGACGGTAAGTGGTTAAAGTCGACTTTTTTCAAATGTTACAATGTAGAGGGACAGTAAAATTTTAAACAAAAACTGTAAGTTTTATCACTGAACAGCCAGTCCAGTGACTTTGCTTAGGCTGAGCTGATGTCCTCAATCTGTTGCAGGCAGGAAGAAGCATTTCCTCAGTCTCCTTTTCCACCCATGATCGAACTGTACATTGTAACTTTGTAGTGAGTCACAAAGTGATAAGTGTAAGATATTTGTAAACACAGCCAAGAACTGTCCAGGCATCAAGCACTACATGATTGTGTCATTTCCAAGGGTCAATTTGCACCAGCCACTACATTACGACACAGCGGCTGGTGTGCGTTGTGGTGCAGGCAATGCTGATGCATAGATCGATGGTACTTTTTTTTGCGCACACTGCCTGAATACCACCACAACAAACCGGCCACACTGGAGACAAGGCATTGTGCCTGGTCTTGCTATGGGGGTGTGGTGGGACTGTGCTGGAATAGTCATCCGATGCAGTCCCACCACACGTGTTGTGATTGTACCTGAAGTTGACATCTCAGTCCAGAAGGTAGATGTGACCTTGGATAATGCCTGAACAAAAATGTCTGTTTCTGAATTGTATGGGGGGGGGGGGGGGTTGTGGCGGGTTTGGGGGGTGGAAGTAGTGTGGTCACTGTGGCCGGTAATGAGCGTCTGTACATATTACACCTTACTTATAATTCATGAGCTTAAAGTGGAATTCCAACCTAACTCTAACCTTGCTTGCAAGTATCCCCTCCCACTCTATCTATCCATTCAGTTGTATCCGACCCTTGGTGATTGTATGGACCGTCACTTGTAAGCAACTTCTTCCATGAATTCTCTTATTAAATATTAATTATTTTACAGGGTAGGTTGCCAGGTCTTTTCCCAACCCCTACCATGCAGGAGATCCCACATGGCCAGGGATTAAACTAGGGACAATTTAGACAGGAGCCAATTCACCTACCAGCATGTCTTTGGAGTGTGGGGGGAAACGGGAGTACCCAGAGGAAACCCACACGAATACAGGGAGAACATGCAAGCTCCATGCAGGAGGTGCCATGGGTTGGAATCGAACCCATGACCCAATTACTGCAAGGCAGAAGTGCTAACCACTAAGCCACTGTGCCCCCACTTATGCTGGGACATTTTCTTCTTCCACCAGCCCCCCTAATGTCTGAAGGACAGTAGACCAGCCCTTTGTTTAGAAAGTTTGGAGACCCCTGTTCTATAACATTCTATAGCCTTGCCTATCTGTGTCTTTCTGTTCCCCGAAAGAGGAATGGAAGGCAATTACCGACTTACAATATTTTTGTAGGGAAATAACCCAACCTCCAATTCCACAGAAAGTATGGAACACATGCAAACTCAATGCTGAGAGCATTTACAGTGAGCACTGATCTCCAGTACCGGGTACTCGGGTAATTTTCGGTACCATAGTTTATTGCCTTTTCACAAACTTGAACAATTTTAAGGCTTGACATTTGGAAGGGTTAAACCATCGCTGTGTATATGTCTACTTGTTAACATATTTTTTTTTTTTTGTTTATTTTTACCAGCCAATGGCTCTCTTCGAAACCGCTTCAAACGCTGTGAGATTGAAGCCATCCAGTCTGAGGTGAGAAAAATGTGCAACTACAATAAAATCCTATCCACCAAAAAGAACATGGATCACGTGAACAAAATCCTAAAGGCCAAGAGGTTACAGAGACAATCCAAGACCGGCAATAACTTTGTGAAGAAGAAGCGAGGCCGCCCCAGGAAGCAGCCAGTCTTGTTCGATGACGACTCAAGAGACCAAATGCCCATCCTGGAAAAATGCGTGGACCTTCCCAACAAACGAGGTCAAAAATTCAACACCCACGAGTTGGAAGGGAACTGTAAGGATTCGGTCATGGACGCTATTGAAGCCGTCATACATATGGCCAGAGAAACTCAAAACTCTCGCGGGCAGAGAAAGGGGAAGCGGAGACTCGTCGAAGAGGAGGTAGTAAAGACAAAGCGGCATCGAAAGAGACGAGGCGAATCGGACATTTCTCACTAATAAGCGTCATCTTTGGGTTGATAATCAGGCTGACCATAGACTGTAAAGGGGTAGAAGAACCTCTAATTGAGGCTGCAACACCCAATCTTTTTGTTCTTTTTCCTTTTTTTTTTTTTTTTATTAACGTTACAAAATGACAGCTTTTTACAGTGGGTTTTGTACGGCTTTGGACTCTAGACTTCAAACCTGTATTTTCATTGCTATGTCATATGTTATGTTGTCAGTAGAAAAAAATGGCAACTTGTTTTGGATGTGGCTTTTCATTCCAGGATACTGAAGTAGGCTTCTGAGTTCTGGTGGAAGATCAATCTCTATTGGAAAGTTGCAAGCCCTTCATTTCACTCATAGAAAAAAAAAAGGTTTTCTAATGGCCAGTGACAATGGAGAAAAGAAAAAAAAAAAAAAAAAGCTATCTGTAGATAAGGAGGACCTTATTTATATTATAACCTTTACCTATGTCTTCTCAGTCAGATGGTCATATAGATAAGGTTCACTTTAAACTGGGTATCCATATTAGGACACACACTGTTTATAACTCCCCCTTCTAATTTTTTAGAATAATGACACAGATTTACATGTACCTCAAACAACATGTAGACATCGATACCTATGAAATTTTATTGGTAATAACTTATGTGTATCTTTTTAATATGATACTTTGCATGGAATATCGACACTAAGTGGTCTCGGCTTTAATGCGCTGGATCATGTGTCCCATCATGAAGTATTGGCATAGGCCTTTTACTTTATTTAATTTTTTATTTTTTTTTTGTTTCTTTAATATAAGATTTTAAATAAGCTAAAATCTAGGAGATGCCTTCATTCAAGTATATCATTAGAAAAAAATTTTATCTGAATGTTATATCAAGTATGTAACCATGAAGGTTTTTCTTCTGTTTGCCGTGCTTAGACATTTATCTTTTTCCATACTTCGATGCCTTCTCTTGATATCTGGATAGCGTACATAACGGTAGAAAATTATCTTCAGGCAAAAAAAGTATTTTGGCTGGGTTGAAATTTTTAGTCTGCTTCTAACAGTCTCTAGATGTGTCTGTTGTGAATTTCCACAAAGTGCTATAATCTTAAAAAAAACTAACTTTACATCCTTCACGTATGACACTAAACCCAACTTTTACGTGTGACTTTTAGAGTTGGTGTTGACCTTTAGGAGCAATTGTTTGATGGCTAGGCTGTTTTTTGGGGGTTATTTTACACCAAGCCCAACTTTACACATGGCTTTTAGACGTTATGTTGGCTTTTATGAGCGATTGTGTAATGGCTAGATTGTTTTTTACACCAAATCACAATTTAAGTGCATTGGAGTCAAATCTTGAGGAAACCCCAGTATATGTTTGTGTTCCTATTCACACAGCATACCTAAAGAAAAAACGTTTATTACCTGCAGGGGCGGACTGACAACTCACGGGGCCCCCGGGCAATAGGGGATCAGGGGGCCCCTGTGTCCTTGCCCAAACTCAAAAAAGGTACCAGGGGCATCTCATGGGGCCCCATACTGACCCGAGGCCCTCGGGCAGTGCCCGAGTTCCAAATGGTCAGTACACCGCTGATTACCTGTTTAGATGTTTCTTAGGAGAAGGTTTCATGGCTGACTTCAAGCATTTCTGGGCAAGTTCAGTGTGATCTGCTCTAGTAGATAGCCTTAAAACAGGATGGGCTTCAAGTCTAATTTAAAACTGATGAGATAAGGTCTGCCAGCACAGATGAGACATAATTAACAATGTTTACGGTGCCCCTCAAAACAGGAAAGGATCCACAAGAAAGGGAGTGGTGACATATCCATTTACTAATCCAAAAAGTAAACCATGCATGTGCAAGCGGATTGCCACTCCAACTCGCCCGTGAAGTCAGAAGATAAGGTGCAGCCTCAGCCTACATGTCTCAGCTAAGCCATGCCCTCTGATGCATTTCACCCAGCCCAACGAGGCTTAGTCACAGGGTAGGCGGGGTAAAATGTATTAGGGGCATGGCTTAGTAGAGGCATGTAGGCTGAGGCCACGCCTTATCTTCTGACATTTTGAGACAGGGTTAATTATGGCAAAGATCCCCAGCCCCTCCTCATAAACAAAGAGAACTAAGTAGAATTTTACCTCTCTGGAGTTTCCAGAAATTGCCATCTAAAAACAAATAAGCTGCAATTTTTTATTTTTTTTTTTTTTTTTTTTTAAGTTATGCAATGTGACTGGAGATATTTAACAAATGTAAACTAAGCATTATCTCAATTTGGCTGCAAAAGTAGAAATACAAAAAGTGGAAATAGCCACAAGATTTCCAGTGGTTGATGTCAACAGAAACGTAACTAATACCACAACCACGACCACCATCAAAAACCAATAATAGACCAAGTGGCCCACCACAGTTGCCAGGGTTCTGGGAATAAAAAGTAATTAGAGCCTCAATCAAATGACATATTTTGAGGAAGTTTGTTCAAAGTGATAATTCCGTTGTTGGAAATAATAGTTCAACGATAAACTACATAATGTTAAGCACAGTATATTAAGTGTTTTTACAGTACATTGGATTTACCTTCTTCAGCCGGTTATCCTTAGAGTGACTCTTTCATTAATAAAACAAGGCATAAAGTGCAGCAAGTTTCAGTGCCCTGCCTTGCCTGATATCTAGGCTGTTCAGATCCGGCAAAGCTCTGACACTTCCTGATACTGTCAAAAATTTCCCTCCTGCCCCCACCCCCCCCCCCCCCCCATGTTACTAGTAGCTTATAACCTAATGAGCTGTCTTATTAATAGGAATCTGAGGGAAAGGATGGGCAAGTTTTGACACAAAGTGGCAAAGCTTTGCCTGATCAGAATGGTCCAGCATTCTGGTGGATAGAGGAGACCAAAGACCCCTTTTGTGGGACACACAGTAACTCTATGGAAAATCAGATATAGTTAAGCTGATGCAAGAATATCCAGTATTAGACAAATTCTAATATGAGTACGACTCTCAACCTTGCAAGTCTAAGAGTTATCTTCAGTTCCGACAGTATCTACTGCCTAGTCTCATGCAGTATAGCATATGCCGTCTCCAAACTGCTGATTTGTATATAACAGTAGAGAACAGAGATGCTTTGTGGTTAAGGGGAATATCTACAACTACAGGGCTAACTCTGTTGTTTGAAGTCGTTATGCACACTCAGGAGCTGTTGGACAGCATGAGATCAGGCAGTTACCAAGACAGCAACTGTGGTGATTTCTGCCTCTCCAGCAGACAACTTAAAGCATAGCTAAATAAGTAGGCAGCTGTAGATCCTTTCGTTCTCTGCCTTTGGGAGTCATGCTTGTAACTGTCAATCTTGCAATGCCTCATGGGACTTGTAGTTTGGCAACAGCTGGAGGGCCGCCAGTTTGACCCTGTGCTGTAGCTCATAAATTGGTCATGTTGAACTATCTATTGAATAGTAGACACTTCCTACATCTTCATGGGCACTAAGCTTGCAACCATCAGCTTCCAATTCCAAAGTTAGCACTCTGGCCCCTCCTCTTCCTACATCTTCATGGGCACTAAACTTGCAACCGCCAGCTCCCAGTTCCAACGTTAGCACTCTGGCCCCTCCTCTTCCGACATCTTCATGGGCACTAAAATTGCAACCGTCAGCTTCCATTTCCAAAGTTAGCACTCTGGCCCCTCCTCTTCCTACATCTTCACGGGCACTAAACTTGCAACCGCCAGCTCCCAGTTCCAACGTTAGCACTCTGGCCCCTCCTCTTCCGACATCTTCATGGGCACTAAAATTGCAACCGTCAGCTTCCATTTCCAAAGTTAGCACTCTGGCCCCTCCTCTTCCTACATCTTCACGGGCACTAAACTTGGAACCGCCAGCTCCCAGTTCCAAAGTTAGCACTCTGGCCCCTCCTCTTCCTACATCTTCATGGGCACTAAAATTGCAACCGTCAGCTTCCATTTCCAAAATTAGCACTCTGGTCCCTCCTCTTCCTACATCTTCATGGGCACTAAACTTGCAACCGCCAGCTCCCAGTTCCAAAGTTAGCACTCCCCTCCTCTTCCTACATCTTCATGGGCACTGAAATTGCAACCGTCAGCTTCCATTTCCAAAGTTAGCAGTCTGCCCTCCTCTTCCTACATCCTCATGGGCACTAAAATTGCAGCCGCCAGCTCCCAGTTCCAAAGTTAGCACTCTGGCCCCTCCTCTTCCTACATCTTCATGCTAAGTATTAATTTATTTTAGGCTGCAACAGTGACCGTTTGCTTCCCATGCTTTACTTTTCAAAAAGAAAGCCCAGCACTGCTTGAATGCTTACAGAGAACCTTAGTAAACTAATTGATTATTAAAGTCTAGCAGGGTGGTGCATTCTTCCTCTGATTTATTCAGGTCTGTTTTTAGGAAATATTTTGTATACAGAGCTCGAGACAGAGTTTCTGCTGTCCACCGCAGCTTGGTGTTCTCTTTTCAGTTCCTGGGTCAGCTTTTCTACATTTTACAGGTTCACCTTGAGGCAGCCTTTCCCAACGTAGAGGAACCCTTGAAAAAATTTTCAGTTCAAGTCTACAGAAACAATTGAGTACTGTCCGTGATACTTTTTTTATTTGCACTAACATACAATTTTGAGGACAAGCTTTCGGGGTATGTCCCCTTCTTCCAAAGGAAGAAGGGGACATACCCCGAAAGCCCCCGAAAGACATACCCCGAAAGCTTGTCCTCAAAATTGTATGTTAGTGCAAATAAAAAAAGTATCACGGTCAGTACTCAATTGTTTCTGTCGCAAATGCACTAACACGGCTACAATCACCTCAAGCAGTTCAAGTCTAAAATGACTTTATCGAAAGTTCTGGGAAGCATGCCTTTTGCATTGGTGAACGGTGGAAAGAATGCCCCCTGTATAGTGAAGGTCAGAATGCCGCCCTTATAGATAGCTAAAATTATTTACCAAGTGGCATTGGACCCAGAATTATGCAGGCACCATCAGATGGGAGGTAAATCAGCCACAGCTCAAGGAACCCCTGGCAACTTCTGGAGGAACCCTACGTTTAGAATGGTTTGGTTTCCTTAAGGCCTAAGGAAATAAACCGTAATTTAAAATGTATAAATTTATTAAACTGAATTAGCTGGAAATTGAAAATTTGGCAACCTATTATCACTAAAATTCAAGAAAAGACACTGTTCACTTGCTATCGATTTATAGAGTACTAGATCCTTAAAAAAAAAAAAAAAACAGGTCATATTGTGAAATGGTAGCTGTACATCATTGCTTTATAGGTGAGTTTATTAAATAATTGGCTCAATTTTTGCAAATATAATTTAAAATGCGGTCAAGAATTGCCATGATCCTGCCTCATGTACAAATAGCACCGTATATACTCGCACTTATTACTTCGTTTATTTATTTTCTTTTAATTTTTGTCCAGATAGAACATTTAAATATTACATATATGTACATATAAAGCTGTAAGCTCTTAAAACCAAGGGTTCTTGTCATTCTATAGAACTGAGAGACCTACTGATTGAATTCACTTTTTTAAATGTGTACCATTTTCTAGGAGATGATGAGGCTTGTTTACTAATGGAGTTGATTATGTTCACTCAATAAATGGTGTGAATATTCACTTCAGTTATCGGAGTATGCGCAGGATAAAAACAATTACCAGGGATTCGCTTTTTCCTTGACTGAATAATTTGAAGTGAATCTTCACACAATTTTTCTCATCTCCTTGAGTAAATCAGCCTCATCAATTGCTTTTTGTTTTTTTTTTTTTTTTTTCTTTCAAGCAAAAATACTACCAGTTAATTTTGGCAATATGGCATTAAAATATGTCGCTGATGGCGGTATCTAAACTTTTAGTCTTTTTATTTTACATCCAGGTCACCAGGTTTTTGGCAATATGAATATATTTTCTTTTAACAGTCAGAATTCAAATGACTGACTGGCATCTTTATTGAAGGCATTTATGATATCTGTGTATTGGCACAAATTTGGAAGAACTCCCAAGTACCGGGGAAATGAAAAATAGTTTGCTGGCTGCTTATGGAAGATCTTTTCCATGGATAAAACAAATATGTTTGGTTTTTTATTGCCTGGCTCCTCCGAGAGACGTGGACAATTTCGCCTACCCTTGAAACCAGACTCAGATGGGCAACTTTTTTCAAAAGAAAACCTACAGGCTTTTTCACACGGACGTTCCGATAGGGTCCGCCTGCCCGTTTTTCAGGAGGAACCAAACGGAACCACCATTCTCCTCTATGAAGCGGCAGATATAAATGGACATGTGTGCCTTTACACCTGCCAACATCTGAGCCGATCTGCCAAAAATGGACGGATGGGGATCCTGTTCCCCTTCCGTCCATCGGATCGGGTCGGTTGAAAACGGACAGGCGGACCGATTTCATCCGACCGCCCATTGAGGAGAGCAAGCGGCTCTGTGTCTGCTCTGCAGCAGTGGAATGGACACGGCTGTCATCCGCTTGCTCAGTGGGGATCAGCAGTGTGAGCTGAGCAAACGGATCCGCCAAACTGATCCACTCTGTGTGAAAGGACCCTAATTGGAAGGGTTGAAAATAGGCACTTTGGTTGTTGAATCCCAATGTATTTTGTTGTTGGAG